ACATGATGAGGAAATAAGTCTTGGAAAATTTAACACTCACAGGGCATATCGAGGGGAAAAAGAAATCAATCTTCTGGGAGACTCCCTTCGGTTTCTCATCTGCATAGCAGATGCTAACCTCCAGGAGAGTGGCTCCTTGCGCCTTCTCGGGCTAACTTTCTCGGTTAACATTTTGTGGAAAGGTTATATTGAATGCATTCTAAGGCCACCTGTTAAGAAAGTTCGTTCACTGTGCAGCACTAGACAGTTTTTATCTCCATAATCAATCTTACATATTTATAAGTCTACCCCACCCCTCACTATTTCTATTGCAATTGTAGTTCATGGTAATATTCAAGGCAAAATAGTGCAATGGTTTGCCATTCCCTTTTGCATCGTGGATGTTGATGTTACCTTCGTCCATCTTTTCAGAAGTTCATATCATCTTATTGTTATGACGTAAGTAAAATCTGATGCATTTATTGGTCGACAGTAGATACTAAATTTTTAACCGGTATCAGTTCGATGATTTTCAAAAGCTAAGTAAAGTATTACGTAACAAGAAAATGTTGCTAGACACACAAAAAAGGTGAGCTGAATTGCTATATAATATTACTTCCCTTATATGACATTGAATGATGGACATTTTTCCACATTTGAAGAGTAGACTTGAAGCAACAGAGATGTGGTTCTAAAGGAGGATTCTGAGAATATCATAATCATGTAAGCACGAAAAAATGGAAATAAAATCAGAGATAGTTAAAATTTCCCGGTCACATAAGTAAGTTTATTTTGTTTTACGGCATATTAACGTTTAATGGATTATTTATGCCGAAAGATTTTTAGGATAGGTTTGTATGAATAGAATATATTTTCTTTGTAAGAAATCAGTTTGTAGGTCAGGTTTCTTGGCGTATTTTTGTAAAGAGTGTTTTTGTCGAGAGTCAAATGTATTGCTGGTAATATTTTTGTATCAAAAATGTATTGCTGGTATTTTCTTTCATAGTGTTTTAACCCCAGTTTGAGGGTTAAGTATTTGCCCTGTAGTTGGAACCCTGACAGATGCTACCACCCCGGATCAATGAAGGCCTGAGAATACCAGCAATTAAGGAGTAGTTCCACACGCCTCAATACCTCCTGATCAGAGACCTTGCTGTCGGATGTAGTTCATCGTCATATCCAGGATAGAGATAATTAAGAAAGAGGGCTCCGAGAATTTGACACTCGCATGAGTGAAGACAGGAAAGCATATAGAAATAGTGAGTGACCTGCCAGACAAGTTTGTGAGAATGAATAGGAGGGTGGTTGTCAATGAAAGGATAGTTAAGGATTAAATGTTGCATTGAGGTAAAAGAGACAAGAACTTGAGGTGAGCCATGGCCGCCGACAGAAGAGAATATATTGTTGTCGTAAGCGAATAGATGGAAGAGAAGCACTAGTTTCGCAAAGAATCATACATGCCGAGAGCAAACATCGTGGACGGGAAGGGCAGACAATATATTAGATAAATTTTCCAGTTTTATTGTCCTTTTTATTTTTATTTTTCCCGCACTGAGAGAACCATGGGACACGCCATTCTCAACCAAACCCGTAGAACATAAAGCGGACCCACGATCGATCGTCTGCTATCTTTCTTTTTTTTTTCACCAGCCATTCAATGACATGATTTTTCCTCTGTACTTTGTCAATTTGGACAGTTATTATTTTGACCGCACCTACCAGCCCAACGTTGTGTACCCTTTTCTCTCTAACCGTCGACTAACAATTACTTCTGAACTTGACTGGTTAAATTAGTAATCAGCGTTTCCAAATATACTTTAAAACCTCTCCTTTGTCTTGCCATTACACACCAATCAAAAGAATCCAGCGCCTCAGCATTGAATAATAGGTAGCAAGACTAGTCTCATTGGCCATTACTGATGAGTATTGAGTTCGATCCTCACTGTGTACACCATACAAAATTCGACATTTAAAAACCCAACAAAGATTGACATTATTTACATTATTCGGACTGTCACTGGATGTAACTAACGCCTTTATCCACTGTTCCATGAGCGTACATAGCACAGTGGATAAAGACGTTGGTTAGATCCACTGACAAGACCCAAAGAGTGAGAGTTCAATACCTGGTTAAGACAGTGGAGAACTTGGAGAGGGGAATTAACAGGAGATGACTGATAACTGACATCCATTAAAATGACACGTGGAAATAGAACAGTCTACCCCATTGAGCGAAATAAAGGGTTCAGTTCGACATTCTAACCACCTGAAGAGTGTACAATCGCCGAAACGTTGTAATAAATATGGCGACAAAGTTAAGGACAATAGTCCGAATAATGTAAATAGTGTACATAATACCTAATCTCAGAAATATAGACAAAGATTGACATTCGTAAAATCAAAATGCTTTCTTCATAAGTTTTTTTTTATTGCTAATCGATTATCTTATATATTTAAAGATTGATTTATCTAAAAGTATATCATAGAACGAATGATGCGGGGAGGGTGCCTGTGAACAGGCAGAACGGATCTGAATTTGCAATACCCAAAATTGGTAATGAAGCCAGGGTGATATCAATGATGACCTTCACCGTTTCATTTTATAAATGTATTTCAAGAGTATGTATTTCATTGTTAATTAAAAGTTAACTAGTATTATTTCCTTGGTCCACAAGTTCGCTTTTATCTCGGTACCAAGTAGAGTAGTCGTGTTTAAGATACAGCTAATATTACTAAGCAACTAAGACACTGCTAATATTACTACAGTTAAATTACTAAGACACATAATAATTAATATTACTAAGACAATTAATAAGACTAAGACAGTTAATATTACTAAGCAGCTAAGACACAATTAATATTACTAAACAACTAAGACAGTTAATATTAATAAGCAACTAAGACACTGCTAATATTACTAAGCAACTAAGACACAGCTAATATTACTAAGTAACTAAGACACAGTTAATATTACTAAACAACTAAGACAGTTAATATTACTAAGCAACTATACTGCAGTATATGATTCTTGATGGGAAATACTAAAAATCTGAATTGTCAATCGGGAACTTTTATCTAAGAGAAATTGCTGATTCCACTATGCACTGGGCTAACTCTAAGATATACCAAAATAAGCTTTGTACTCGGTGTCACAACAGAACACCAAAAGATAAGTGCTTCAGAAGGTAATCTCCTGGCCACCAAGTACTGAACGGATATCGCTGCTCCGGTATAAGACAAGAAATCAATATTCAGCTAAACTTAGGCTCTACATACGAAAGAACACCGATAATATGATGTTATATAAACGCCCAATCTGTGATGGCCTAAGGTAGATCTTCCCATACCCAGGCGAGAAGATCGAATTTCGATGTTTCCGAAACATGGTCGATGTTAATTTTATTTAAAAGTGAATAAAGCATATTTTATGTACGAAACATTTAGTTTCGTTTTTTTTTTTGTTAGACGTTACTGTCATAACGTTACAAAGGAATGAAGTGATACGGAAAAGACACCTACTCCAAACGGGACGGAAGCAAGGAAAAAAGGTTTTCAAGAAAATAAAAAACACACAAAAGAAATGAACTAAAAGATTATTATGACTTTGCTTCACGAACAAAGATCCGGGAGGCTTTTCCACGTCTGCTTTCAGTTGATTAGTGAGGCCATTACGAGAGAGCCACACTTCTGTATATTACCTTCAGGGTAAAGTTTGGTAGTTGTTAATTGCTCCGGCCTTCTACTATTTGCTTCTAGCTTGGTCGAGAGATTGTGTGACAGAAACTGTGCGCTGTCAACTTCGTCTGTCTTGATTCTGTCTCCACGGGAGATGGGGGTACTTTTCAAGGAGCCTCTGTATCTTTTCTGTTAAACCACAATTCTCTGTCAACCAGAGACTAATTCCCCCGAATAGGGGTGTCTATGAGGGACAGTAGTTCTCCACTTCACAGCATGGCTAGTCCGCCATAACTTTGAAATATAGCTTGAATACTTGCGGACCTGTCTCATTTTAGAACATTATTGGTAGTTATGGAATCTGTTGCGTTTTGTGTTGTCTCTGGCTTTAGTTCGTTAGACCCCCAACGTTGTATGATAGTCTGTATCAACGAGTGGTAATTGCTTTTTCTTACTTCGCTTTGTAATAATATGAACGACAGTCATGATGGGATCATTTCTAGGAGAAAGTAAGAGGGAAATGACCAGAACGTATGCTGACTCCCTGGCTAGAATTTCATCACGTGTTGGCTATCCTCGCTAAAGACTTTTGGATGCGGAAAACATGTCGACTCTTCAAAATTCGTGCGGACGTCTCCCTTTCTTAGGGCCGGGTCGTTCTTACACGCAAAACATAAACAAAGGCAAACTCTCAGTGACAGAAGTCCACATCCATGGGGCAAGCAGTTTGCCATTCTGGGTCAACATCTGCAGTCTGTAACAAATCGTTCCACAGCAGTTTTACTATGGTGTAGACGCAACTCTGATGTAATCACACGGGCGGGCGCAAATAGCGATGGCAATGCCCCACAATTCGATAAAATATATAGACGATAGGGAGTATGATGCCTTTGCCAACTCTTGTTTTTACATCTTCCGTGAGGATTCTGTTACGATACAGACATTTAGTTAGTATACCGAAGTTTTCACTCATCTTAGTCCAAAGATTCTGTGGAAGGTAAACTTGGCGAATGGAAAACAACGAGGAAATTATAACAGTATTTAATTAATGAAAACAATTAAGAGAATTTAAAGAAATGAAACACGCAAGGAAAAACACTGAAAGTGGAGAAAATATAAAGACGAAGAGATTTGAAGCTGTGATGTAATTCTTTCCTGAAAGATATCTTCATATTATTGGAAAGAATAATCAACTCATCAAAATTCCTGAAACGGGCTGAAGTTTTCGAGACAGATTCTTTTTGGATATTTGTAAAAAGATTTTAGCTCATAATTCTTGTGTAAGTTTGTCTAGAGCCGATGAAAAATCATTGTCTTTTATCGTACAAATCTCGTTTTCTTTTAGGTTAGAAGGAACTGAACCTGCGTTCCAGGGGATAGCTCGGAACTGTGGGAAGCCTGTGAGGAAACCAAATAAAAAGCAATACGACACTAAAAACATTGAATAGGGAAACCTTGGAGGAAAGAAGTGATAAAGAATGAGGGGAAATTAAACGATGTTTAAACGAATGGAAGCAGAAAAATATTAGTGTTAAAAATGAAGAAAGAAAAGATATATTCATGGAAAACAGAGAGCAACGAGGAAGGAAAACCTAAAGAAAAAGGAAATAGCGAACAAGGTGATATAATGGAATATGCGTACACCTGTGTTCCCCCTCACTGGAATATGATTGGCTGGTGTCCGTCATAAATACCGACGGAGGTGTAGGAGAGTCAAGAGCCTTAGTCTGAGAGCTAAGTCTATAACGACGCCCATTGGACTACGCCATTGATCTACACTTCTTACCTGCGACTACGACGCGTATCTGTCGATTACTGCTACCGTATTTTACTTGGTTATAGTAGCCAAAATCACTTAGCTACTTCTGTTCAAATATATCCATTTCTGGGACATATATATATATATATATATATATATATATATATATATATATATATATATATGATATAATGGAATATGCGTACATCTGTGTTCCCCTCACTGGAATATGATTGGCTGGTGTCCGTCATAAATACCGACGGACGTGTAGGGGAGGAGTAGGAGAGTCAAGAGCCTTAGTCTGAGAGCTAAGTCTATAAAGGACGCCCATTGGACTACGCCATTGATCTATACGTCTTACCTGCGACTACGACGCGTACCAGTCGATTACTGCTACCGGATTCTACTTGGTTATAGTAGCCCAAAAGCTACTTCGTTTAAATATATGCCTTTCCGGGACATATCACAAGGAGAGAGAGAGAAAGATTGTGTGTGTGTGTATATGAAAGACAATAAGAAAGAAAGAAGATATGGTGGGAGAGAAAGTAATAGAGAAAGACTACATGCAGAAGGGAGTGACAGAAGAAGAAAAGGTGAAGAAAAATAAGCAAAATAGAGGGAAGAGCAAGAGAAAGAAAAATGGATACAGAACGCGAAGTGATATAGAAGGAGAGATGTTTAAATAAAGGAAGCTAAAAAATATATATATATATATATATATATATATATATATATATATAAAAGGGCTTACGGCCATATCATGTTAAAACACCCCGGTTTCCGTACGATCACCGAAGTTAAGCAACATCGAACCTGGCAAGTACCTAGAAGGATTTCAGTAAGCTTGGGTGGTGTAATGAATGAATTAGAGTGTTAGAAATGAAGAAAGAGAAGAGATATCAAGGGAGAACTGAGGGGAACGAGAAAGAAAGGTGATGTAAAGAAAAAGGAGATAGAGAACAAGGAGAAAAAGAAAGAAAGAAAGAAAGAAAGAAAGAAAATAAAGAAGGAAGCTGAAATAGGAATGAACGAAAGAAGGAAAAGAAAAAGAATAAAAGAAAAACTGATAGAAAGACTGAAAGAAAGAAAGAAAGAAAGACAAATGAAAAAGAAAGAACGAAGAAAGTAAAAGAAAGACAGAAAAAGAAAGAAAGATAAAAATATAAAAGAATAGACAAAGAAAGAATCAAAAAAAAAAAGAAAGGAAATATAAAAGAAAGAAAGAAAGAAAAGGAAAATAGAAAGTGAAAAAAAGGAACGAAGATAGAAAAAGAAAGAAACACGGATAAAAAGGAACGAAGAAAGAATGAAAAAGAACAAAAGAAATAAAGAAAGAAAGAAAAAGAAAGAAAGAACATGTAGAAGAAGGAGAGAAAATAAAACCAGAAGGGAAGCAGATCATGGAAGTCAATGTAAAGGTGGAAAATGTAAAAAAACAAAGAAAACAAACAAGAAATATAAAAGACAACAATGAAGAGAGGAAACGTAAAGAATAGAAAAATGAACTGAGCCGTTCATTCAATTTAGTAGTGGTACGATCGACATGATCCCAAACAAAACTAATCAGACAGAGCGGTCCCAGTAGAACAAATTGATTAAATTTCCATTCTCAGATGAAGGACCTCCGTAGTCCTACCACTGAAACTTTTTTCCCGTTTGGTCTACAGTAAAAACAAACCAACGAAAAGCACAACTTATAATGTGATCAGTATCAGAACAACATCTTTTACCTCTCAAAAGAGTAGAAGAGAGTCTAAATGCAAACTGCAAACCGTAGTTACAGCGTGCACTCGTGGTTAAATTGAATTTTTTAAAGTCAAGTATATAATTTCACTTGTAGACGGACAGCAGATTCGTTGGACTAGAATATGTAAGTCATGGGAAAATTTTGTTTCAAAGCGGGGAAACTATATTGACTTGATTACTTGATTGGAACTTATCACTCGGTGAGGTATACGTCATTTTCGACTAAGTGTTCAAAACTGGTTAAAATAGGTAAAAATTGAATGTACTCATTTAACACCTGCAAGACATAAATACTACAAGGACACTAACATACGCAAATTATTTCAAAATAAGGAAACCGTCAACTTAATGTCCTACCTTAAAGAAATAGGTTTATGCGAAAACATATAGCATCTACAATAGTGACACTTTAACGTGATCTAATGGTTAGAAGTCTTGTCTCGCTAGATCAATTACGACTGAAAAGTGATTTCGATCATCACCGGGTGCCCCACAAGTTTCGGCCCCGTGCCATATCTAAGCTCCGCTTATAAAATCACCACAAGTTGGGTACTTCGACGTGATCTAATGGCTAGAGGGCTTGTCTCGCTAGATCAATTACGACTGACAAGTGATTCTGATCCTTATTGGCTGCCCCAAAACTTTAGGCCACATTGACCTAACATCAGAAAAATCGCCTAACCTTCAATAGAAAATCAAACAAACACACACACACACACACACACACACAACACACACACACACACACACACACACACACACACACACACACACACACACACACACACACACACATATATATATATATATATATATATATATAGTAATTCATTGAGAAGAAACCTCAACAGAATGCAGAAAGGACTGGACGGCCGTTTCGTCCTATATTTGGGACTCATCAGCAGTGCGCATCCACTACTTAAACCCGGACAACTACATTGACAGGCAAACGCCATACCAACTGTACTAACGGGCCTTGGTGACGTTTTGATCGACAATGTTCGTTTAAATATTTCCTATAAGTTTCGTTGAAATTGATCTGTTATTTTTTGAGATATGTAAGAAAAACCAATGTGTTAAATACTTTTGCTACTCACTGTATATATATATATATATATATATATATATATATATATATATATATATATATATATATATATATATGCATAAAGTATATCAAGACATGTTATTGTATGCCTGCACTTATGTGATAATCAATGTGCTTTTATCTTTTCAGAGCATCAATGGCGAATTTGAGATTGCACTGTTTTTTTTAGGCCACCAGGTCGTTTTTGTATAATGTTCGGAAGGTGTTGGAAGCCTCCTGCGGGGATATGTCGCAGCAGCGAAGTGAAAAAAAGCATTAACGGCGTTCGGACAGTGTTAGGACACTACAATTCGCAGAGCAGATGAATAACATTATCGTCCCAGAATGTCCATTGCCAAAGATCCCCACGTGTCCGAGGGTACAATACGCAATGTGGTGTATAATGGCATGATGATTTCATATGTAAGAGCAGCTCATATTGACACACGCACAAGAACAATGGCTGCTAAATTCAAAACAATTACTGAAACACCCAGAAAAGAAAAAAAAAACTTGGCTCGCTACAAATAAGTGTACCGGAGAAATGAGAGCTGGTTATGTGCAGAAACAGTTGCAAAGGCCCGGATAGATCTTGTATGTAATGGAAGGTCGTATGTGTTTCAGCATGAGTCGGCACCTGTTCACGAAGCTGTGGTGACACAAGAGTAGACGGCGATCGATCTGCACAACCACATCACACTAAACATATGGCCACCTAACTCACCAGGCGGAAATCCCATTGACTATCACATGTGGAGTTTTTGAGACGGGAGATTAATCAACGTTCCCACGGTACGATTGAAAGCTGACATTACAGCAATGTCCAATATCAATACAGACCATGTGTTGCGAGTATTTCGGTCACGCATTCAAGTCATCATTTCAGCTGAAAGAGGTTATATCAGAAAAATATGTAATTCAACCATTAATGCATCAGTGTACCAAAATTTTGTCTCAATACGTTTAGATGTGGTTGTTTTTTCTTACGGTTTTCAATGTGATCTAAACTACCTTATGCACTCTGTATACAGGATGAGATGGATAAATTGTCGTCTAAATTACACAAAAAGGAAAATAACACTGACATCTAATTTTAACAGATACATATTTACCAAAATGACACAAAAAATCTTGAAATACTAAAGAATAAATTTATTCAATAAGATCGCCATTAGCTTCAACCACGGCCTCCAGCCTACTTCGGAATCTCCTGCAACTCTTTTGAGTGGTCTCCTTGTTTAAGCTGGCGAATGCTACCATAATCCTTGCCTTCAGTTCATCTTTAGTGTTACAAGGAGTTTTGTTGGTCTCTCGCTCAACTGTGCCCCACACATAATAATCAAGCGGGTTACAGATTGGGGATTTAGGTGGCTTGAAATTAAGGATGATGTGATCGCAGAAATTGTCTGACAGCCATTAGTGGGTTCTCCAGCTGGTGGAGCATGTAGCAAATTCCTGTTGCTAGACATAGGGTCTTCCAGCAGCCACCCTATTGGACCAGGGCAGGACTACCTTCTCAAGGCACGTGATATAGGGCTCTGTGTTGAGTCTGAGGCTCTGCAGGAAGATGAATAACGTCGCCATCACGAGTGATCTCTTCAAAGACCATGATGTTGACTGGATATATCATCAAACTCTTTCCGAATCCTCTGTCTTGTTCTCAGATTGATACCTGAACACTGAGATGTCCGTATTGAAGCTTCCGGCGCGAATGCCAAGCAGTACAGCATGCCGTTTCCAAATTTCTGGCGGAG